TATTTTGCAAAATAGTCCAAAACATGAAAATGTGAACACATGAGTTTTGACAATTTAGCTTAACCATATTTTGAAACATTACAAAATGATTTTATAGACTTAAAGAAAGATATAAACTATTGTTATGAAGTCTATAAACAATGAATATAATATTTTCACAAATACAATATATAATGCACTATATATATATATATATATACATACATAGAAACCAATAAAATGTGTGTGTGTATGATTGAGCTTAGAGTACTAACACACATAATATAAAACCTAAACTAAATATACCCAAGCTTGATCTTGATCTTCAATAAGCTTGACTTGGTACACTTGCGGAAGAAGCTTGAACTTGAATCTTTAACTTTGAATTGCGTAGGTTTCACTCCACAATTCCGCCAACCTCCATTTGATATGATCGTGAATGCTCGATTCCATCCATCCTCCAACACGTTGTTTGCCTAGAATAAATACGAAAATACAAACACTAGACAAATAACATTAGATGTAAATTGTTTGTTAAATCATCATCAAAACAAGAAGGCCAACAGACCGTTATAGGCAACTCACAGCTCATCGGTCGACTGAAGACCTTATCAGTCGACTGATAAACTCATCAGTCGATTGATAGTTCATCAGTCATAAAAACAAAAACTTATGCTAATTCCAGGCGAGTTCATCATTCGACTGATAAGATCCATCAATCAACTGATAACATGTTATCAGCCTGAAATGAACAGTAAAATTAAATTACAAACATCTTTTAAAAATAGCAAATAAATTCCAAAAAATATAAAACTTTGGAAAAAGTTTATAAACATGATAATGAACATGTTACAAAAAGAATTTTTAAAATTGCACTTTCAAAAAGTACAAACTCTTCATTTTGTAAAATAGTCCAAAAGCATGAAAACTAAACAAGACATGTTTTTGACAAAATGTTTTAAACAAACTTTTGAAACTTTGTAAAGTGATTCTATAGACTTGATAAAAGATATAAACTATAGTTATTAAGTCTATACACCAAAAACACAATATTTTTCAATATACAGTAGAATATGAAACATATGAATATGTATATGAATGTATATTTGTTTCATATATATATAACTAAACTAAAATAACTTATCCACATGAAAACAAACATATATGTATATAAACATGAATTTATTTATTTGTAAAAACTTTGTTTGTGGATAAAACCCTAAACGGATAAACCCATGAATTGTGTGTGTGTATAATATTGAGCTTAGAGTATTTAACACACAAATCATAAACCTAAAACTAAATTACCCAAGCTATCTTGACCTTCAATTTGAGCTCGTCTTGGATGCAGATGAAGCTTGATCTTGAATATGACTCGAAGTGCAAATGGCTTCATACCGACTATTTCCGCCAACCTCCATTTGATATGATCGTTATGACGCAATTCCATCCAACCTCCGACATGGATATTTGTGTAGATTACCTAACAAAACAAATGTAAACACTCGACACACGTTGTTAGGAATTGTTTGTAATCATCAAAACAAGATTAGTGAGTAGACTCATAAACATGAGGCCAACAAAGTGTTAGGTTAAATTTAATATTATTGGCTTGATGGGATTAAGTGAAAGAGGTTGAGGGCTCAAATCTTATTTTAAAAGTCAAGGGAGGTTATCTACAATGCTCCCAACATTAACAGAAATAATCGAAGAGGTTTTTCTGGGACAACCCTCATAGTTGATGGGGGTTTTCTATAAAATTAATTTTAAATTTTAGAAAACCACCTCTATTTTAGATGTTTGGCAAACACCCCCTTTAACTTTCAAAATGTCACGAAACCCCCTTAAAGTTTTGGGGTTGTAAGAACCCCATTCAACTAAGAATGTTTTTGTTAGATGGCTACCTTCTACTTACATAAGGACTCACTGACGGAAAGGATTCATACCCAGACTAGTCATACCTCTGCTTCTAATTCTCTTAGTCACAAAGCCACTAAAATTGCGAACTACAATTTTCATTAGCAAAAATAACCATTTGCGTAGTCTTACACACCCATTTAAAAATTATAGCTAACGCTATTAAGGCTTTTCTTGAAAAAATGTTAAAAGTTGAGGATTTTTTTGAGAAACCCAAAGCTTAAATGGGTGTAGTGACATTTTGAAAGGTAAGAGTCACCTGAGAAACGTCCAAACTTAGAAAGGTTTACTGAAATCTACCCTTTCGTTAAACTCCTCGACGTTTAGGAAAAATGTGTGCAAATCAACCAAAAATTTCGAGGTTTTGTGATAATTTCCAAATGAGAAGGGGAAACTATGAAAGTATAATACTTTGTTTGGGAGTTTACTAACGGAAATGACAAAAAGTTAAATAATGGAAAGGAAAAGTAAGGAACAGAAGGTAAGGAACAAAAGTGAAAAGATAAAATATTGTTTGAGAGTTTATAATAAGGGGAACAGAAGCAAATTTGTTTTATATTGTTTGGGAATTTTAATAAAGAGGAGGGAAGTGAAGTGAATATATATAAAGTTACTTAAATATTGTTACATAATGGATGAGAGTATCTTAACCATCAATTTTAATACCATAAAGATATAATTGTATTATCACATTGTAAAATTTTACATTGATTTGCATTCCATCTTTTATAAAGGAAAGGAAAATGAAAGGAAATTCCCCTGACCTATAAAAAAAACTCCCAAACTAAACAAAGTGAAATTGAAATTGAAATTTTTACTTTAATTTTCATCCATAACCTCCATGTAATAGGAAATAGGGTAAGGGGGTGTTTGTTTCAAATCCCAAAATTTATGGATATGGATTTCACCATAGAATTTGAAATCCATAAATTTTTTTGTGGGTTTTGGGATCTCTAAAATTTTGTTTGTTTCATCAATATTTTGGGATTTGGAATACCAAAATTTGTAATATTATGTTTGTTTCATCAATATTTTGGGATTTGGAATACTATAATTTGTATTATTTTGTTTGTTTCATCAATATTTTGGGATTTGGAATACTATAATTTGTAATATTTTGTTTGTTTCATCAATATTTTGGGATTTGGAATACTATAATTATATATTATAATATTATATAATATTTTAATAACATAT